AACGACTGGAAGAACTGCACCAAATAACCAAAGCGGAGCACTGGAGGATGAGAGCCAAAAACTCCGTTATCGCACAATTCTACGGACTGCCGAAGATACACAAGGAAGGAATTCCCCTGAGGCCGATCGTCTCCCTTCCAGGAACAGCCACATACAATTTGGCAAAAGAATTATGGAACCGACTGAAGCCGCTCATCGCTGGACACGAGTATAGCGTCAAGAACTCAAGACAGTTCCTGGACAAGCTCAAAACTGTCAACATCCAAGAAGACGAAATAATGGTTTCGTTCGACGTCACCGCCTTGTTCACTTCAATCGACTTGGACCTGGCAAGATCTACGTTGCGGGAACTGATGACTGAGCACCCACCAAATCCACCAACGGAACCAGCTGCCATTTACGAACTGATGGAACTATGCATGCAGACGTACTTCAAATTCCAGGGTGAAATCTACGAACAGCTGAAAGGAACACCAATGGGATCGCCAATTTCTGGATTCATAGCCGAAGCCGTAATGCAGAAGCTGGAGAAGAAGGTACTACCAGGAATCATGCCAAAACTTTGGCTTCGATACGTTGATGACACATTCGTCATCTTGAAGAAGTCGGAACTGGAACGAACGTACAACATTATCAATAACACATTCAACGGCATCAAGTTCACAATGGAGACCGAGAAGGATAAAAAACTGGCGTTTTTGGACATCTTGATCATCAGAACGCCATCAGGAAAACTGGAGACAACGGTCTACCGCAAGGCAACACATACCGATCAAATTCTAAACTTCAAAAGTAATCACCCACACAGCCACAAACGATGCTGCGTTAAAACCCTGTTCGGAAGAATCCAAACGCACTGCAGCACCGACATACTCAAGAAGAGAGAAGAAAGATACCTCCTCAACGTGTTCGCTCGCAATGGCTACCCCCGCAACTTCATCAAAAGAACTCTGGCGCAAAGAAAGAAGGAAACAACAGACGGAGAATCGGGAACAAGAACGACCCTGCCGTACATCAAGGACGTTTCGGAAATGACAGCAAGACTTCTCAGAGCGTATGGAATTCAAGTCGCCCACAAACCGATCGCCTATCTAAGGGGACTTCCGTCAAAACCCAAGGAGGGAACAATGGAGAAGGACAAGAGCAGCGTGATCTACAAAATAAACTGCAAGAACTGTTCAAAACACTATATCGGACAAACTGGGAGAAAACTGTCAACAAGGATCCGTGAACACCAATCGGCAATCAGGAGGCATGACCCACTATCCTTGATTTCCCTCCACGAAGATCAAGAAGGACATCAATTTGATTTCGAATCAGTGAGAATTATCGACCAAGCCCGGTCAAAACACGCCAGAGAATTTCTCGAGGCCTGGCACTCTTCAACCAACTCAATAAACAGGCACATCGAACTGGATCACGTGTACACGGCAATGCAACTGAAGGACCGAATTGCCAAGCTCGGCGAACAGGCGAAATGGACTACAGATTATGTTACTTGAACCTTTCTTTGTCTTGATGTCTTCGAGTCTTATGGTTACCTCTTTACTGTTGTTCACTTTGTTCGTGGACTAACATTATCCTGCTCTTTTTTCATTCAGCTAAGATGGTTGAAATTGATGAGTTCAGAAAACACCACGAAAATCCAACAGAATGGCGTATTCGTCGAGTATTTTTGGAGAAAAACCTCAAACTTCTTCCTCTGGAACGTTTAGAATGTCTGTCGCACTGTTTCATCAATGTTGAGCTCTATGGCAACGCATATCCGGATAAGGTTATGCAAGAGGTAAGTCTACGTTTGCTTGTTTCATTTTCTAGATTAAGGAGTACAGCGATGGAATTTTGGATTCTATGTTCCCGAACAAGTAGTCGAAGTAAGTACTATCCAATACTGGAGTGCAACATTTGAAAGCAAATCGGCATTGTGCAATACAACGCCCGAAGCCATTACTTTACGCGCGATCATTTGAAATGACGGGTTGATATTTTCGGTGGTCCGTAGCTTTACTTTTCACGCTTTTTACGCAGAACGATTTCCACACACTTTTTAATGCGTACTGGTTACAGAATGCGCTTATTAATAGGCGAGTAGGGTTGTCATCATCAGCGCCCAGGAAAACTTGCCGGCCGCTGCCAAGCTCACTGTATACAAATTAAGTGTGAATGTGTAAGCTGGGTAAAAGTAGGCTGGTGTGATCGAGCGAAGGAAAAGCAAGCAAGCCTCTATGGTCAACAAATAGAGTACACTAACTGTGCATACACATGTTTCTCAAGTAATTTATCATGAGAATAAGTTACAACAAGAATGCCACTGCTGTCGGTTCAGTTCAATAGTTTTCACTGTTTCGAACCACCTAGTTCCGAGTACCTAGGATGCTTCCTCGGTAGTAAAACCGCTGTCTACGTCGCGTTGTACGAACCTGGAGGGGAAACTGAACGAGAAATGTTGAGGTTAGGCGTAGAGTTTCAAGTAATCGCGACTGTCCACCGGAGCAAGTAGTCGACCTCCATAGATTACGTTGGTTGGGACATGTGCTACACATGTAACCAGATAGGTTGCCACGGCGAGCGGTGTTTGCCGAGGCAGTTAGCGGTTGGAGAAAAGTCAAGGGTGGTCAAACTAAGACCTGGCATGAGGATATGAAAACCCTGACCAGGAGACTGGCTCACACGGGTCCCGTTAGGCTCTCTGACTGGGGACCCCGAGATCATGGTCACCGATGGTTAGTGACGCTGAGCGATATGGCTGGGTGTTACAAACAGTGGCGCTCATGCATATCTACTCATTATTCTTGTAACTTCAGTCTATGTAAATGCGTTATCTTCCGCTTGAATCTGCTCTCAATATTGTGCTGTTTTATCCAAATGGGCAACCGAAAGACAGCAACCAAAACCGGTTCATGAAAGTGGATAGTTAATGGTTGTAAGAATTGAACTGATCACACGCGCTTACTGTTGCCAGTCCCCAGTACGCGCCCGGAGAGAAGTGCATCTAATCGCTTTACTTCAGCTTTAATGGTTACTGGTTGTGAA